TCAATAATGTGAGAAAAGAAAAGGACATGACCAATTCAATAAATACCGTTCAATTAATGAATGCTCGACCGACGATTTTCTCCCAAAATAAAAATAACGTGCACCAAATAGCACCTAGTACGAACGAATCTACATGTACTTATCCATATCCACGAATCACTCTATATATATTTCATAAAGCTTCCGGCCCCGGCATTCGTATCATTCCATCCGGCATCCAAAGCAATAACCATCCATCACCCACCGGCCCCGCAACCAAATGATGCATTCCAAAGTCTCAAAGGCAAAGATAGAGAGCCAGATCCCATCGATAAACGTGAGATCCCTCAGCTGTCCACAGTGTCACGTTTGGAATTCGTCCTTGGCAAAGGCACGCGCGCGCACACACATACACAGGAATGTCGGAGCCCTCCACCGATAATTAGCTCTCCTTTCCCTCGCGCTTCACCCCAAGTCGCAAGTCTCTTGATGAATATTCCCGTGCCCGAATTTCTACGCGACCAGCACGCAAGTCCCGGGGAAGTAAGACCCAAGCACAAGGAGTCCCTGATAACGAAGCAGGAGCCTCGAAAGCAATCGAACATATCCTTTGATTCGGGGCATCGAGGGCTCCAATACACAGAGCTATGGCGTGCGTCCTCGTTCGCCTCTCCGGAGAGAGACCGGCAAACCATCTCATGATTTAACGCTCGGCTGTTTGAAAACTATCGATTGGTTTGTGTGACTGAGTGCTTGTAGTTTCTTCTTCCCTTACCTCAGCACCCCCTCCGGCCCTGGATGCCAGTGACTTGTGATTGAAATCGAAATTCAGGAGTTTGCACGTCGCGCTCCTTCTCTTCGCTTGGAATCGAGTTGCCCGAGAGTAAGGGTAAGTAATCAGTTGGCCATTCGAACGGAATCGCTAAGCTGCTTTGGATGACGAAAGTTTGTTGGTCGAGCGTGTGTGCGCGCGTTTGTCAACCGGATTTGAATTTCATGGATCGGTGCAGGTTGATGAAGATTTTTTTCGGCATGATTTCCATTCCTAAATTGATGCACGAGTGTTATTTGAGTTTCAATTTTTTCCAGTAAACCTTTTGATTATTGGTCCATCAGGTGAGCTTTTTATTTTGTCATTTTGAATTTTTTAGTAAATGAGGAATCGTATAAACAAACTAGTTTAATGATTGTGATCAATTAGTATGACCAAGTCATCCAAATTAATCATAATATTTAGTCAGTCGTAGGTTGATCCAATATAAATTCTACACATACTCAATACCAGAACTATCTAACACTTGTTCGACCCAGAAAACCAAAAAATCCAATATAAATCCCAGTGAAAAAAAAAAAAAAAAAAAAAAACCAGATACTAATCCTCTTACCAGTGTACAAACGCCAGTCCGATCAGCTTTACACTCTTGGTCCAATTACCTCCGTCAACTCACAAACTTCGGTTGCCCGCAAAGGAACGGCCGATCCACCTCTCTTTGACCAAATTCCAACCGAGAGGGATAAGTCGTGGAGAAATCGTCGTGTACACACAACGACCAATACCACCACCACTGCACGACACATATAAAGTACATAGAAGAGCCAGAGGAGGACGGAGATCTGTGGCGCAAACATCGAGTAATGCCAACGACGAAGACCCCTTTTTCGTCCGCCCGTAAGAGTTACCACGCCACTTGTTAACTTACTTCGCGCCGATCGTAACTTATTGGGTGCTGTGGCTGGGAGCACTAAAATCTCGAAGGGGCGTGTAACGTGAGACGGTAAACGTGGAAATACCGCTGGATTGGTTTATTTTCTTACCCTACCCGGGCGTTGCGTCAAGTTCCACGGAAGGTGACGCACAAGGATTCTTCTCAAACAATGAATTACAAATGACGACAAACGTACGGAGTACAAGGAAAAGGACGCCATGAGCACAAAAAAAATCAAATTAATCAATCCCACAGCGTACCCCGTATCAAAAAACAATCAATAATGGCAGGTTTTTCTTGTCAGTGTCCCCTACCCCCCGAAATTCCTCCAGACGACACGATTGTACATCCATCACGCATACACCTAATAGCGAGTGAATTTGTCTTTCAGCCAAGGTACCGCAAGCTTGTGCGTCGGATCAACCCTAGCCGAGCCATGGACCAACCCACCCTCTCTGGCTGTCTCTCTCTCATCCCTTGAACACACGCGTATCGTCCCGAGCGCTTCTTCAAACAAAGTCCCGCCCCGCGTACGTACACATAACGTGGAGCAGATTTTCCTTTGGCTCCACGCGGCGAACCGCAGCAGAGAGATCCCTCATACGTACGCTATCGATTAGCCAGTAGATTTAGCAGGTAGCCCGTGTATGGCTTCTCTTGCTCTTTCGGCTGCACGTAGTCGGGGAGTTGGTAGTTTGTCGAGGATTGTAAAGTTTCTAGCTCTGCCGGGGGATTGGATCGTTGTCTTGTCCTTTTTTTTTTTTTTTTTTTTTTTTTTTTTGGCACGACTGTGGAGGTGAAAAAGAGCTTTGCTGAATTTTTTTAACGTGGGCGAGCTTTACTTCTTTTTTTTTTTTTTTTTTTTTTTTTTTTTGTTTTTTNTTTAGCAGGTAGCCCGTGTATGGCTTCTCTTGCTCTTTCGGCTGCACGTAGTCGGGGAGTTGGTAGTTTGTCGAGGATTGTAAAGTTTCTAGCTCTGCCGGGGGATTGGATCGTTGTCTTGTCCTTTTTTTTTTATTTTTTTTTTTTTTTTTTTTTTTTTGTTTTTTCGGCTTTTGTGCGGATTAGTTCGGAGTCTAGTGTACTTGGACTCATTAATAACCGAGTGGATCTCGAGGACGCTGCTTTTTAGGTATTCCGTGTAAAAGGTTTTCTTTCAACGTTGCGAAAGAAGGTTTCGAGCTGTGGTTGATGGATGAAAAGCAGTGCTTACTTATATACAATCTTTTTTTGTGTTTACGATCCCTTTGAGTTTATAGCTGTCAAATGGACAGTCCATTATTTAATCAAAGCAAGCATCTTAAAAATAGATAAGGTCAAAGCACATCTCCCTCAAAATAATAAACTCGAGGCTCCAGCCGAACTGTACAAGCTCCGATACAAAATGAGCTGCTTTTTCCCCAACAAATTTTCTCTAAAAATGCACATTTTAATAACTAGTTTGAACTCCCCGGATGCGCACCAGCACATACATCCATGTCGAGCCAACCCGGCTCCCGTCTATAAATTCCGATAACCCCACAGGGGGTTCGAGTATAATCCCGCCCCTTCCTGGCCAGGAAAATCAAACAATTACCATATCAAAGGCTCCATTATCGAGACACGCGAAAATTCCAACTAAATCCCCTATCAGCTTACTCGTAAGACTTGTCAGCCTCATCTCCCTCTCGCTCCCGGTTACCCGCACACCCGTACGACAGAGGCCTCTCGCAACAACTTAACGAACGTGCCGTAGTGCTCGCGCAATTAAAGCTTACACCACGATCGACCCCTCCCTCCCACCCGTCTCTGCTGTTGCTGCTTTGGGTAATGGATTATTTAAATGACCCGGCCTTCATTAAGCTCTCGTCTCAACCAACCGAAATCTAGTGGATTAAGCAGTCATAAACTCCCCCCCCCCCACCACGCGTGTGTGTGTGTACGCGAGTGCCTCGTAAATTCTTGTTTCCGGTCGGTGGATACGCCTCGATGTTTAAGAAGGCGCCACACGGCGTACCTTGTGGGGACGCCATCCGTGTTAGGGAGTTGTGGTTAAGTGTACTTTTAGCGCGAGCGTTGGGTTAATTTAGGGAGGTCTTGAGCTAGGGAGGGCGGGCTCGTATGTTTGTGAGAGAGAGAGAGAGAAGGTGCTTTGTTTTGGATACAATTTTAAAAACCGCGTTAGTAGTGTAGCGTCGTGTCCTTTTTGGGGCGTCGTTTAACGAAGTTATCCAAGGTGGGTTGCAAAGTTGTATTTACATCAGAAATGGAGCGGTGAGAGCTGAAAGTTTACGCGGTAATATTCGTTCTTCGAAGGGGCTTTCTTTTGATTCGTGTCTTAAACTAAAATACGTTTTGTCAAATTATTATATATTGACCTCTTTCCATCTAAATTGCGTTATGTATATTTTTTATAGAAAACGCGACGTTCCAATTTAGATGGAAAGAGGTCAATGTATAATAATTTGATATAATACTTACCCATCGATTAATAACATCAATATCTAAAATACGTTTTGTTATACTCAACTTTCAAGGATAATGTACTTTTAAAGTGATTAAAAGTTCCGTGAGAACGAGATGGGGTTCAAGTGCGTATGTACACTTATTTTTCATTTAAGTAAAAGTTCAGTGCAACAAGTTTCTGCCTTTCTTTCGAAGGTTTTTTTTCTTTTTTCATTCAACTTGCCAAAGTTCTCTTTTCAAAAGTTAGAAAAACTCGCCAACATTTTTGCAAAATGTAGCAAACTTACGTGGAGGGTATATTTTTTTAATTTCAATCGTTGCGTTTCAAACTATGGGCATCGTACGTTGATTACCTAAACCGAAGAGAAAAGTAGTTTTAAAATAAGACAAAGAAGAGCGGCCATTAGAGTAATACCAATAGAAAACAGTAACGTTTCAGAGTAAGCTTTACTTTCATATTCCCCCTTCGTATACTTGAACTCATGGATCGTATAATCCAGAGAATTACTTAATGGCCGCTAATTGAATAGATTACTGGGAGTAACGAAAAAAAAAAAAAAGAAACCTTCTTTCAACTCTTAATTGCCAGGCATGCTGAAAGAATCTAAATCGAGCTTGGAAACTTTTAATTCCTATACCCTCTGCCATAATAATTTGCATTTTAATTTTCGATGCGCAAAACGCGGATCGTAAAAACAGCCCGTTCCCCCCTTATTATCCTTCCGCTTTCATCGCGAGCAGCTTCGAGAGAAGCGAAGGTTGGATCTTAATGAAATTCACAGCGAGTTTCGCATCATCCTGCTCTTACACCTCAAGGTGTACATATTTATAGATTTGTCTTTCATACATACAAATGTGGATCTCACTAACCTGTGCACCAACGCGTCCCTTTCTCAGCCTCGGCACGTCCGTATGGCTCCAGTCTGACTTGGCCCAGGGCTCGACCCTGCCCAAGTCACTGCTCAGATTCACCTCTCCCAATTGATTGTGTACGAACTTTCTGACGTTCCAGGGCAAATCGTTATGCCTGCAAAGAAAAATGAAGCATGAGCGCGGTGGGGTCCACCACTACTGCTGATTGAATCTTTGAGAGTAATGGATTTTTATTTGCAGGAAGGTATTGGCTTCGAGTTAAAAAAAAGCTCAAAGAAATTAGTTCGATGAGCCGGTGGACGGAGATTAATTGGGCATCGTGCTGAAGACAGCTTTTATTGAGTGAACGGCCGATTTAATGCTGCAAGGATCACGTTTCATTACTTTCTGCCTGTTCGATTTGACAACTATTCTCTGGGTTGTTGGTGAACGTGAAGATGACACGAGTACTCAAGTTGATTTTAATTGAATTTATTTTCACTAAAGGGAGCTATTTGACATTTTTAATACCTTTACTGAAAAGAGCTTTTTTCCCGGGTTTATCTAAATAACTAAATTGTAAACTTTTTTGTGTGTTTGTTTTTATTCCATTATTACTATAGTATTTACGGCAGTAGGTACATTTGATAATAATATAAATATTTTATTATCACTGTTTAAAAAACTCATATGCTCATTTACTTGTTTATTTTATAATTTAAGCATAATAATTTTATCTATGAAACATGTCTGACCATACATAGTCATACTTCATTTCATATATATGTTTATTTATTTAAGCAGAAACTCCTTCTAGAGTGATACCTGACTGATACCTGCTTATAGATATCACACTCTACTCATAATGTGTTATATAACTGTATTTATTTATTTATTTGTTCAGTGTGTATTTATGTATCAATCTGTTTATTTATTTATTTCTGCGTTCATATTTATTGAAGTAAAACGAAAATACCTAATAATAATGCTTGATCATACATGATTTATTCTACATCATACTTATTTTATTTATTGATTTAGTTTGCTCTTGCATTTACTCGTTTGTGTATTCATTCAAATCAAATAAAAACATATAAGAGTCATGCTAAAAAAGGTTATTTGACTTAGTACGACTTATTTTATGTAGAATTCACATTTTGTTTTGCATAGAACGTATAATCATAATCATACGGATTAATTCTTTTGAAGTGATTTATTAGTTTTTTTAATTATTTGATCATTCATGAATTTGAGTAAATTAACATCACATAAGAATAATGTATGACTTTGCATACGTTTCTATAGTTGGGAATCATGGACAATCACACAAAAGTAATGTCTGACTAAAATAGACTTGTTCTACTTGTGAGAAAGAATGAGACCTTACAGAATTAGTGTTGAATAATATATATTTTTATTCGATTGGAAAATTAGTATTGAGACTGGATATTCAACACTCTTGGTAAATATGAGACTGTTAGTTCAAAAAAACTGAGTGTAGCATGTAAAGAAGTTGATAAATAAAGATTACTATACCTACTCATAAATAGATACTATAAGCTTATTACTATTAGTGTAGATAGTTTTTCTTACTTTCAAATTAAAAAGTTATAAAATAAATGTACTTAATACTAATAATGTAGGGGTACAAAAGCATGTACTAGCAGTGTCTGACCATGTAAGACTTGTTCTACTTAATAGACATGATATAATTTTTTACAGAAATGAAATCACGTAGGAGTTGTGTCTGGACATATGTATCTTACTTTTGTCACAAAACAAAATTAAATCATATATGTATAGTTTATGTATAACTACAAAGTATGTGAAACTTCAATGAAAAGAAAGCACTGTCTATCACTAAAGCTTCCGTCAAACTATCAAAGCTAAAGGATTGGATAGTTGTCCATTCAATTCGCGAAGTAACCAGAGAAGCGGCTACTCCAATAAATTTACAAAAGCACTATTCAGTCAATGCCATCACATCAAGCCAACCGTATCCTTTGAGCTCAATTCCTTTTCCCTTAACCACTCCATACATCCCAAAAAAAACGAACAAGCACCCAATACACATGAAAGAAATCACTCACCCGTCAATCAGAGGCACTTCGGAGAGAATCCTGTAGACCACGAGCAGTCGCTCCTCGTAGGTTATTGGCGCGGACTGTAGGAGCAGGGGCAGGAAGAAGCCACCGAAAAATAGGGCCACGACCAGAAGGACGATCGGTGCTATGAGCTTACACTTGCGTCGGGGACTGTTGCTGTCGTCATCTCGTCGCTCCTTGCTGCTGCTGCCGCTGCTCGGCGAGTCCTCGCACGGAGGTGGCAACCGCACTGTGCCGTTGCACGGCGCCACGTCTGGCAGTTCGGTTAGGCACGTTGTCTGCAACAGAGAGCCATCAAGGTGAGATAAATTAGACAAACCGATGACTTATGAAAGTTGCTAATGTATTAAAAATTATATTGTCTTGTGGTTGAATTTTTGTTTAACGGGTGGCAATTGTGTAATTTTGGGGTGTTGATCATATTTCATAATTTTAAGGCAAATTAACAATTTAATTTTCCTATTAAAGTAAAGATAATACATTAAGGAACATTAAGAATTCAAATTAACAACACGATTAAAAATGTTTCGTAATGGTATTAAATTTTGCGAAAACTTAAATGGATCGAGGAACTTTTAATGGAACTAAAACCGATTGATTTCGCTTCAGTAATTTCTGGAGGGAAATGGCTTCTTTTTCGAGATAAAGTTTAAAGTTTTACCTTCGCTCTAATTGAGAGATAACTGATTGAAATCCCAGTTGGAAGGAATTTTCTGCTGCTTAGCAATTGTTGAAAATTTCTCTGGAATTACTCTTAACGATACAACTTTATTCAATTGCTCCTAATTGTATAAGTTTGATAGGTAAAAATAAGAAAAGATAAATCTGCTTCGTAATTGTTTTAAAGATATTTTTGCATGGTATGGGGGAAACGAAAAACCCTTGAAATTCTTATAGTCAAAGTGTAAAATATTTTAGTTTATAAAAAAATTACGTAATATTATTTAAAACTCATCGAGCATCGTTTAACCTTGAAAATGAAATGATGATGCTGATAGAATTAAAACTCTCCTCTCTAAAAAAAAATCACCTCTGCTCCCCATTGTAACCTCTAGTAAAAGCAATAGTTGAAAATTGTCGAGCAAATCGTTCCCTCCATCCGCACCAAACTTAATCCATACCCGAGTCATTAATCGGTTTCTCGTCGTAAGTACGCGCTGCAATTACCAGTTCATCTGAAATTCACTTTGAGCCGAAAAATCATCTGTGGCCAACCCTTCACGGCAAAGTAGGCTTTCACGGGTATGCGAATAATGAAAGCCCACTCGGAGTAGCAGGGATTACTCATCCAAGGCTGCAGAGGAGCAGAAAGAAGGGAAAATTTTTCAATCGTCCAAAGAGAGACGTGCTGAATCTTTTAACACTGAGCTCCCGACACGGCTTCAGAGTCGCGGGGACCGAAAAAAAGGAGGAAGCTCAAGGATGACGCGGGACGCGCGTGGAGGGTTTTCGAAGCGTGGAAAGTAGATGATCGCGTAATCCCGGGGTGGACTCTCGGAAGGCATAATAACAGAATTAAACTATCAGCCAGGCGGACGAAGTGGGATTGGAGCTGGCGAACTTTCCCTCTGGAACTCCTTGGAAATGTCACCTGCTCTGAAATCTTTTTCCCCACCTCCCGGTTCTCTGTTTTTTTTTTGCTCGTCAGTTGCGTTTCTTTACCTTTTCTTGCTTTGATCCTTTGATTTCAACCTGTGGCGTTTTTATGCCAGGTTTTTTTCGTACTTGTACTTCCACTTCCACTATTTTACTTTTTATCTCGAGTATTTTAAGCTTCTTGATGCATCTCTGTTCGAATTGCTTCTCTGGGCTATAAAAGTTATGTTTCCTGTCTACGCTGTCGGAAAGACGCGCGAGGAGACCTTTACTTTTGCTCCCTTATTTATGGAGCTTCGTGGCGAATTACTCCATAAAAATGTATTTTACAGAAGCTTCAACTGCTATGGCAATTATTTCAATATATCTCATCTCTCATGAGAAAGATCTCATGATACTTCCGGTTATTTAGCCTTTATTTTAAGACTGCGGTTATTGAGGATTTAAAGTTAATCTTCGTATATTTTGAGGGAGCATTTTCAAGGGGTAGTTTATGTGATTTATCACCTCGTTTAGGGCTCTGATTTTTATGCAGAAATACACGCTGAATTACATCCAATAAATATTCACATGATCCTTTCAAAACATCGCACGCAAAAGCTGAAAAGCTTTTATTTTCCTTTTTACTTCCACGAAAGTTTCCTCCATTGTATCTCTTGCGATTGTATTTGGTTTTTCGAATCGTCGTCCGCAGTTAAATTCCCTGTCTTGAACATGCAAATGTTTTCTCTTCCGCGTAAGCTTTCCGCGCATCCGTTTTATTCCTCGTTCTTACCTCAACTGCCTTTTACTTGGAATACATATTTTTTCTCAGTGTCGTATTGTTTTTACCATTTCTGTTGGTATTTTTTCACTTCCACAGTATATAAATTTGTGAAAAGACTATTTTACGTGAATAAGAATGTGGATTTCCAAGCTTTCTGATTACTAATCCGTGAAATCATGGATATCCAATTTAAAAGTTTCAAGTTCCAAATCTCGTTTCGAAGTTTTTTAGTACTCGATTATTTGTTTATTTAAGTAAAATAAAATCACTCACAAAAGATTGGCCAAACTTTTTTTCAACGTAGTATGAAGTGCAAATGCTTATTCACGTATTGATGTATCAACCTGCGTGTTCATTTATTCACTTGAGTAAAATAAAGTCACACATAAGCAATGTCTGACTATGAATAGCTTGTTCTACTTACTATGTATTGTAAAAATGCACTGATTTATTTTATTGTTTATTAATTATTTTTATTCTTTTATTCGTGTTTTCATTTATTTTATTTAAATAACATGAACAGCTGGGGTTGTCTGACCACACGTAGCTTATACTACTTAGAAGAAATTATTTATCTTTCTTCTGCGTTTATTCGTCTGTTTACTCTTTAATTACTCAAATTAAATAAAACTACACAAAACTTATCTCTGATCACACACAGCTTATTTCACTTAGAATGTATTGTGAAGTATTCCTTTTCTCAAATAATTTGTCTATTTATCTCTTGGTTTTTATGTTTGTTTCTGCATTATTTAAGTAAAATATCATCATCTAAGGGTCATGTATGACCATACACAGTTTTCTATTCAGTGCGTATTATAAATTTGTATTTATTTATTAAAACTGTTTCTTTATCTCCTTATTTTCCTACTTGCTTATTTATTTATTTTATTAAAATAAAAGCACATAAGAATAAGTGACGATACATGTCTTATTCCATGTGTGGTAAAATATTAAATATTATAACTTCAATAATTTGTTAAATTTTTTGTTTATTGATCGTTTTCAGTAAAAGAAAACTAATCTAGAGCTATGGCTGACCATACATAGTGTATTCTACTTAGGAAATATAATTGAGCTATACGTATTAATTCATTAATAATTTTGTTAGTAGAGAATATCTGATAAAAAATAACTGTATTTAAATATTGTAAATCTAAGTTTTACAGTGTACTTTTATTGAATGTATTTATTCACAAGAATAAAAAAAAAAAACAAATGCAATAGCGATATATTCACTGTTACTCAATTTTAAAGTCACTTTCTAAACTACACGAACCAGATCATATAAGACGCATTGCAGCAACTACTTCGTCACAGAATTTTTCAAAATATGTCCGTAGTTACGTCAGAATTACCCAATCATAGCTTTTCTCGCCATTTTTTTTTTTTTTTTTTTCTGTCACACTATTGTTCTATATCCAGCTAATGAACACCACGGCGCCAACGCTGTACACGTAAAAAGCCCAGTTGCGAATGAAACGGGGAAAACACAAACCAACAAAAACGTAAAACAGAGCGAAGTGTTTTTTTTTTTGTTTTACTCATCTCGCAGGATATCGGAGCAGGCGTTAATTAACGGACGCAGAGCCGGCAGATCAAAAGCCAACGCGCAACGGGGAGGAAAGTCCCTCGCTCGAGCGTGCTTCCGCCTCGGCTTTTTTTATCAAAGCTTTGTTGAGTCGTTGACGCGTAAGTTGTATCGATGAAAACGCGAGCGGAGAATTTTCCCGTTGATACCTACGCAGCTTGAAGGAACAGTGCGAAAAAAAAAAAAAAAAAAAAAAAGAACAATGGATGAGGCGAAGCAAGTGATATAACAGAGTTTGCACAAAAACGAGGGTGTATATTTCCTAACGGTAAAAACTTTTATCCCCCAATAACGTGCAGCCGTTTGTGGTGCGAGTTTAACGATCTCGAATGCATCTTGCTCGCGTTTTACTGCGCGAATAATAATCATACTCGATGTCGGAATGAGGGGAAGAATAAAAATTTTACGCCCACGCCGATGAGCGAAATTCTTGCGGCCTTACGCATTCGCTTTCGAGCGTGTTATTGTTCAATGCGATTCGCGTGTATATTTTACCATCGGTAGCGTAAATACTTTATCGGCTTACTCTTTCAATACGATCCAATAGGAAACTTTTGATAACTGTTTTACTTCTCTCTTAATAGTAATGACTAAAGTGTATGGAAATAAATAATAACAGAATGCAATTTTTTAAATGACTTCTAGTTGCAAATGTTTTTCTAAAATAACAGTTCGTTATTTGGGCTAAAACTCTTGTATTTTCTAATTGCAAGTATTACTTGAAACTTAAAAAAAGGACTAAATTTGCAGTGAAAATTCAGAAAAAAAGTGTCAAAGTATTGAAAAATATAATTAAAATGTTCATTGAAATACTTTATAAATATAATTATTCTAGCTCGAAAAAATTCGTGCTGATTGTGGTATCATAAGCAGCAATGAGAAAAAAAGCAATATTTCTAGCACTAAGAGTGCATGGCGTTTAAACGTCTACAGAACTATGTCCAAATGTGACGATACCCGAGTTTTTCGTTAAAAACCTGCGAAAACCAATCGAAAAAGAATTAACACAGCCGTGCACGAGTGTGGCACGCAGGCTCTTGCATTTTTTCCTCGCGTAGAACTGCAAAAGTACTGGGGTCGATATTTTCCACTATAATGGAATTTCCTTTCATTACTCGATTTGGAGGAAAGCGGGAGACACGAGGCCTGATAACGAGAAAAGTGGCACGGGCTCGATGCGGGATAAAGCCTTCTTCCCCCTCCCTCCCACCGTGTCACCACCTATAGTACAGCACAGTCACTTTTTGTAATCGAATTCCAGAGTTATATGCGCATAGTCTAGCTGCACGTGCCTTGAACTCCTGCTCTGTAGCCCACACACGCGAAGGGGTGAAGGGCTAAAGTTTCAGTACAGCAGCCTCACGGGCTCGAATTTATCGTCGCAAGTTAATACACAGGGTGTATCTACTTAGGGAGGCACGTGTGCGCCTACTTCCCTTTGTGTGTGGTGGCAGGTGTGTATGGGTACTCTCGGTCGGCACGTACGCAGGAAACAGTAAAATCGCGGGGGTAGGGAAAGTCGAAGCGCGATTGTAGTCAATTTGGCTGCAAAGTTCATAAAACGCGCGACACTTGAAAAGGTTTCGGGGCCCTGTGTGGCTTTGCGGGTGGATTTCGGAGTAGAGCGCGATACGTGGATGGGGTATTGAATTACGTGTGCTGGGCGGAGTTTCATTATTAATACCTTTATATGTGTATATTAGACGATTATTGAACGATGATACTTTTGTAATAAAATAAGCAAAATGTTTCTAGATAATAAATGAAATTGTGGAGATAGAAAATTGATAACGGGAACATGAACATTTTTTTTGTAAAATTCTTCACTAGCGATGTATGGTTTTTTTTTTCTTTTCAATATTGGAAATTCCTATCAGTACCGAGATCTGAGAGTATGGAATAAAAAATTGAAATTGACGGTCCAAATATTGAGTGAAATTCACATTTAATAGAATACTCGAACAAATGATCAAGGGTATATTAAAATGAAAAAATTTTACATGGTCAACATTGAAATAAAAAATTTCAGAGATCCTAACTTGAAACTGGGATATCATATTTTAGAATGAACACAAAAAGATTTTTAAAAAACTTATAATTCGTATAATATCCATTAACGTTTTGTACTCCATTCATCCATCAAAAGTATTAATAACGGAACTTCAAATCGATAATTCGATGGTACTTTTACATCAATAGCAAAAGTAAAAATAAACTGCTTTAGCAAAAATTTCACCAGCAATGCTGTTAACAAACTTTATTACTTACTGTTATTTGACCGAATTCCTCTGATAGTCAATGTGATACTAAAATAATGACATTAAGGAATATACTGAAAATAACGCGTTGTTATTGCTCAAGAAACACCGAAAGAAAAGTTGAATAAATGACCTAAAAGAGATTTTTTTAATGACTACCTACACACATAATTTTCGACTGAAACGTGTAAAAAAACTCACATCACGCCTGATAAATCAAATCTGCTCACGTGCAACCGATCAACAATTATTGCACCGAGAAGACAGCCAACTTACTAGCCTCCCTCGGAACCACTGGCCCAAAAACCGACTGTTTCAGATAACTATGTCAAGCTCGGGTATGTGTACGGAAATTTCAAAACAGCAGCTGGCACGTGCACGTGCATATAATGCGCACGTAACTCGACAGAGAGAGAAAGGCCTTACTCGTGAGGCTACCTCATTTCCATCGGAGTAGAGAGCTGGCACTCAAAGGCCGGCTTTATTTCGTGCAGAGACGAACCTTTCGGAGCGAGCGCAAAGTTGGTTGACCGTTTGCCAAGTGTGCTGGTTTTTTCTTTCTTTCTTTTTTTTTCCAGTTTGGCGTTCGTTTTTCTTTTCCTTTTTGTTGCAGGAAATAGAGCTGAAACGCTACTTTTTTGGCTCCCGTTGGTGTTGCTGTCGAAAGTAGTTTAATCATCACTACAGCCGGATGGATTCGGACATTTTTTCCAAATACTTGATACTTGAAGGGGATAACACCATGCAATGGTATGGT